GCAATTGAGACACCTACTGTGCTAGGCAGAGTGCTGTGTGGCTTAGTAGGGAGGGGGCTGAAGAGATTCTAAATGCAAACCCTAGTTATCATCCTCTGATGAACTGTCCTAGCTTGTTTCCACCTCCGAATTTCGGCCCGTTCTTTTGTGAACTTGATTTAGTGAGTTCTTACCTTGCCCAGTGTCGATGGGTCGGTGTTGATGGGCGACCTTTTTCGGAAGCTGCCTCTCCTCCTGCTATTGCTGGGACTGTCAGATGGAAAGCTGCATCCCACATTTATAGACCAACGTCTCTAGGGGAAGTGATCAGACATGAAGGGACCCCATTCAAGTGTGCTGATAAGGGAGGCGTGATGCAGGCTGATTTCCAAGATCCGCACCTGCTAATGGTTGTGACATTTGTCAGTGCCTTTTGAAAGATGTTCATGGTGTGTGGAAATTTTTCAGAGGAGTTAGCCCGACCAGGTACTCTCCCCTTCGTATTTTAAATCTTCAAAGGCCTGTTATCCCTGAGTCATGTGGATGCTGGTTGAATGGCAGAGTAGAGCAGGTGCCAACTCATTGAGAGCCCTTTAGTAAAGGTGCCAGTGCTGTGCCCTGTCCAAGGTTGGCACTCATCATTGAGTGACCAATTGAAGGGTGGGGACCTGAGGGAGAGGGCATGGGGTCACTTTGGACAGGGTATCTCTCTGTGGACATTTTATATCAGGTGCGTGCGATAGGAAGTATCCAAACATACAAAGATTTAGGAATAAAGTGATGGATGCAGGAGGATTGGAAAGTACACAGTGTCTGAAGTGGGCGAGAGCCTGAATGCAGGCCTGGGGATTGTAAGCATGGCTGTTCCATAAATTCCTCAGCCCCCGTTCCTTTCCCAGAGTGCCTCTGGGATGAGAGTGAAATGTTTTCAGACGTCTGCTGTCCTTCCATTTCTATTTTAGAAATTTCAGTCTCTATGTGAGGCTTCCTCTCACCTGTTCTTTATTTAATGGCTCCCAAAATTCTAGAGCCCATTCTCTGGGCCTCAGGCTTTCCCCTATTTAAGAGGTTGTTCTCAGTCATCTGTTCAGTTCCTACCACCAGGATCTTTGTGATTTTGTGCATCCTGTCACCATCTTGCTGTGTGGTGTATCACAGCTTTACAAAGCAAGAGTGTGGGAGAGGGAGATGATTTTGACAGAGAGCGTGGCTAATGTCTGCTTCTGCTCACTTGAAGTGGGGGCATTGGTTTGGGTTCCTGCCTTCAAGCAGGCTCAGCATGTGTGCTGCCTGGCCCTTGCCAACCCCACTGTGGTTCTCAAACTGTGGACGTCACGTGTAGTTCTGGTTGCCAAAGGCCCCATTTTGGGATTTGCTGAAATGTCAGATGCATAGAACAAACAATAGTTGACCTTTTCCCAGAGACTAGAACCATGGGTTTTACACGTGATGATAAGGAGGACAAAACCCAACTGTCCTGGATCTTATTTTTCTTGGACATTTGAGAGAAAGTGAATGACCCTTTAGTTGAAATTTGTGACACCCATTAGTGGGTGTGGCCCTTGATTTTGCTAATGGTTGCTAATGGTTTCTCTGGACCCAAGGAATGAACCCTACTCCAGGCCTGGGGAGGGGCACATCCGGGATGTAGCCTTTGAAGGCCCCTTGGGGCTTCCTGGTTCCTTGTTCTTTTTCTTTCCCTCAACCCTAGGAGGTGGGGCAGCCATTGACTTCTGCTAATCCAGGACCCACATGAGCGGTTTCTCAGAAGGTGGGTTAGCAGGCTGAGCACTGGGGCTCCCTTGTTGTCAAGCCCTAAGTGCTAAGTGATTTGACTGCTGACTCTTGAAAGGGAGGGTCCTTTCAAGGCTGGCCAAGGCTTGGCTGGATCACAGTTGCTGGTGATAACGCAGATACCAATTCTTAATTGCCTCTGGGTGAAGGTGTCACCGTAGCCCAGCTGAGCCGGGGTGTCCTGGTGACAGAGGCATCAGAATTTTGACCTTTCCTTGTTTGTGTTTGTGTGTGTGTGTGTGTGTGTGTGTGTGTGTGTGTGTGAAATACACACGTGTGTATGCATTTGTACTTTATCTGTGTACATGCTTGTCTGTGACTCTCTAGGTCCCTCAGCAGTCTTTTCAGACTCCTGCCTTGGTTTCCTTCTCTGGTGTAATCAATCTCAGATCTTTGTTGGTATTGGGAGTTCACAGGGCCTCTCACAGCAAATAAATCTGTGTTCCTGAATTCTCTGGAGTTGGTGTAAAAGTTGGGTTAATTTTTATTTCTAAGGGTACATATCTCTCATGAGATTTTTTAAAAATTTAAATTCTTTATTGTTTAAAGTATTACATAAGTCTCCTTCCCCCCCCCATTGACCTCTCCCTGGCCATCCCCCAGCACATGCCCTCCCCTCCTCCCCCCATCTGTATCCATTGGTTATGCTCATATGCATGCATACAAGTCCTTTGGTTGATCTTTTACCCCCTTACCCCCTGCCTTCCCTCATAGGTTGGACGGTCCGTTTGATGCTTCTATGACTCTGGTTCTATTTTTGTTCATCAGTTTATGCTGTTCATTATATTCCACAAATGAGTGAGATCATGTGATATTTATCTTTCTCTCATGAGATTTTTAATGACCCTTGTGTTTTATTAAAGGTGATGAATCAGTGTTTTGGGGAAGGCAGAGTTCCTGTGGGCAGGGTTTGAGGCCAGATAGATGTGTGTGTAAATCTTGGTTCAGTGTGTGGTGCCTTGGGACATTATCTAATAATTTTCTCTGGATTAGTTTCCTCATCCATAAAGTATAGATAATACTGTCCCTATCATAGGGTTGTCATGATGATTAAAGCAATTAGCATATATTTGGCATATGTGAGTATTCCATAATTTACTGTCATCATCATTAATATCACTTACCATTGGGTCAGGTATTTTCAATTGTTTTGCACCTTTCTCTCAGATTCAATACCATTTCCTTATCAATATGGTGTACCTAGATTTTGGCAACTATTACACCTTGTTTACAACAAGAAAATATGATGTTTTTTGTATGCTTCTTTACCCTCAAAACATATCCTTCCCAATGCTTTTACCAGAAAGAAGGCAGATATAGAGACATTTTAACCTTGCTCTGAAGTTTATATTTTCAGTGGGGGATAGAGTGTGATACATTCTACTACACCTATGCATGTGTATATACCTTGTTATAGATGTTTAAGAGGTTTGAAAAGGCCAAGAATTTAAGACATGTTTGCAGATGTCTGTGTGTAGGATTTGTTCCCTTTTTACCAGGTTGTTCCACTGATGTCCACATTCAGTGTTAGGTCTGTGGATTCTGCTTTGGAAGTCAAAGTGGAGTATGTGTGGGCCAAGAGGTGCTTTTCATTCGTTCCCAGAAGGGGAAGTGGCTGATGGGCACTTCCTTTTTGCTGCTTCTCTTTGAGCACCTCCTGCTGGTTTGCCATTCACGGGCTACACATTGCTGCTAGTTGGCTACCCGGCCTGGCAATGGGGCCACTGCACACCCTGTCAGGCACCACCCAATGCAACCCGGAGTCTCAAAGTCAGACTGCAGAGTGAGATGCACTTGTTAGAGTCATGCGGGGAGTGAGGGCCCCCCTGGCCGGAGCAGAGGTTCTCTCCTGCCTGGACAGTGAGCCAGGGCCTGCCCAGCTTTCCTCACGGCCCTGAGGAAACAGCATTCGATCATTTCTACCATGGGCCAGGCACTGTGCTCACACACAGGTGGGGAAATTCTGGGCTTGGGGTGGCATTCAGCTCTCCCCTGGAAAAGTGTCTCCCAGCCTTAGTTTATCTTAGGTGTGTCTCATATACACACCAAGGGCTGGGAGACTTTGCAAGACCAACGTGCAGGGCTGTCCTACCCTCTAGCTCAGAGACCCCTTGGGGGCTGCTGGTTGGGGATATTTTTTCCTCAATGCTGGGCCTGTGGTTCATATTTAAAAAACAGGTCCTGAGGCAAGTAGTGAACCTACAGCATGGTTTACTCTGGACGCCAACCTCCTACTACAGGACAGGGACTCTGCACCAATCCTTGGGTGTCCCTCCATGGTTTGGGCTCCATGGTGGAAAATTGGCGCTTAGGAGGGCTTCGCCTGTAACTCCTCCATCTTCCCGAGGCCAGCTGGGGTTACCGAGGGAGCCGGACACTAGTTCATTCCCAGGGCAGAGTCCATCCTAAGCCCCCATTCTCTCTGTGGTGGGCATTTTATGACAATCCTGTTTCTCCTCACCCGCCTTTTTCTGGGGCCAGGCCTACCTTATTATCGGCTTTGGCTGGTGCCTATCTCTCCAAGCTTTGCCATCTCCCCACACTTGGCAACCATGGGGCTGCTTTCATCTGACTGCAAAGCCCTCTGGTTCCCTGCCCTTCTCTGCTCACAGCCCTGCCCTGCCGAGGCTGCATAGGATTGGGAGGTTGGTGAGGGGGGAGGGCTCAGGCACTGCTGTTGGGCACATGAGAACTCCACTGCTGCCTGCCACACTCTGCAGGGCCAGGGAAGCTCCGAGGTGCAGCTGTGAGGTGCGGCGTCTCACAGTCACTCACCTGGGCCCAGCTTCCCTCTTGGGTGGTCTGGCTGCTTTCCTTTGCCCCTTTCCTCCATACTCAAGGCCTCCCAAATATCTTTGAGCTTATTTTCTCAGGGACCCCAAAACTTCTCCTCCCTGCTTCTTTCTTTTATCTTGACTAGGGGACCTCTCCTGTGCATGTAGATTTTCCGTGTGTCTTTCTATACCCTACCCTCTCAGGGCCTGGACTTGGGAAACTCAGGCTCTTGGTCCATTTTCTGAGGAACCCTCCCTTCTCCGAGAAACCGAGCACGGAATTCATAATATTCTCTGAGGGGCCAGGGGAAGCAGGAACTATCAGGGAGAAAACCCTTTCTTTGAACATTTCAAGATGGCCTTGCCACCTTCCAGAACCTCTTGGCAAACTCAGAACCAGACTCTTTCTCAAGCAAGTCATCTTTATTGCAACCCAGACTTTCCACTGTGACTGTTGCCATTCTTGGAGTCTCAAGGGTCTGGAGCACTTGTGGCTGGATGGAGGGGTCCTCGGTAAGAACCTATTCCTCTGGAATGGTCAGCAGCATGTAATCCTGTGGGTAGAAGCAGAGCTACGTGGACATCCATCCTATAAACCAGCTCTCCCCGAGGCTGTGTCTGCCTCTCCTGGCGGGGTTGTGTGGGTCCTAAGAACACACCATTCCCCCGTGGCAAGAAGACAGAGCCAGGGACTGACTGGATAAGGGGATTAGTGGAGGGCAAGGAGGGTCTTGGAAATGTCAGCGAGGGAAGGAACAGACTGGTTCCTGATGCATTGGGGTTCATCCTGCCAGGTCACCCTGAGGTGGATCTGTCACCGGGCTAGAGCCTTCCACATGCTCCCACCCACAGTGCCCAGACCTCTGCTGGGCCCGCCCAGGCTGCTGGAATCCAAGTGCTCCTGCCTGCACCTTCTTCCCCACTAGAATGGGAGCTTCTGGGGGTTCAGGGACTGGGTCTAACTCACCACTTTGTCCCAGCATCACTCAGCATAGGGCTAGGCACAGAGCAGCCAGGGACACATATTGCCTGGCTGCATGAGTGGTAGTGAATGAATGAGTGACAGGGAAGCCAGGGAAGGATGCACAGCTTGAGCACCGCCCACCTATAGGTGGCGCCACTCATGGAGACTACAGGAGGAGTGGTGATACAACCTGCAGTGTGCACCTTGCACAATGTGCGAGGCGGCTTAGAAGTGAATCGATGAGTGAGCCAATGAGCCCAACCCACCGTCCATCCCTTTGCCTCTACAGGTCTGGCTCTGTTGTGAGACAGCGGCTGTGGCTGTGCCATGACTTTGCCTCTCGGTGCCCTAATTCGCTTGTTTGTAAAATGGAACAAGTCACAGCATCAACTTCATGGAACTAATTGTGACGACCACCTGTGTAAGGCATTGAACCTCTCAGTGAGCCTAAGGTCTGGCTCCCTGAGGGATTCGTGTAGCCCCTCGGAGCCTCCGTTTTCTCATCTGTAAAGGGGGCATCACCCCCAGGTTGGCTGTGAGGAGATGGTGAGTTAAGGAAGGTGAAGGGCTTGCCACATGTGGTGCCTCCCATGCCCAGGCCTCAGCTTCTGCCTCAGCAGGACAGGGACCAAGGCGATGCTAAGGCCCTTCTAGCTCTGACTTCCCACTGTGTCTCCAGAAGCTTCTTTACCCAGCATTTACCTCAGAGAGCTCCACTCGGGCCTTGTTGAAGGAGAGGCCCTTGATGCGGGGCAGCGGGAGGTGTTGTTCACTGAGCAGCTCTGTGAATGGGATGGACAAGGAGCTCAGGGTCCTGTGTGTAGGCAGGGGCAGTGTGGGCCAGGCCAGCTGACCCCTGGCTGCTCCAATGCCCAGAGCAGGGATGGTCCTGGATGTGCCCCTTTCCTTCCCCAGGGAGCATCATCTCCATCCCCTTCAGGCAGCCCCTCCACAAAGCCAGGTCTCTCTAATGCCCGCCCAGTTATTAAAGTCCTGTTTTAAAGGAACTTCTCTCAAACATATTCAGTAACTATGAAAGCCTTCTTACAAAGTTATTCTTCTTAGCATGATTTTAAGGAATGTTCAATATGTTGGAGTCTTCTTATGACTGTATCAATGAATTTTATTATTCTCGTTTAATTGTGAGAAATGGTTGAAAATGCTATACATGCCTGAAAAATGCTAAAACCTTGGTAGAAACAGGAAATGTCTCAGAAAAGGATTAGAAAAAAGTCAGTATAAATTGAAAACTTAACTTTAAAACACTAGACATTTGATCATATTAATAAGAAAATATCCATTGAAGCCCTGGCTGGTGTTTCTAAGTGGTTAGAGTGTTGGACCCAATCAGGGCATGTGTAGAAGGCAACAACTGATGTATCTCTCTCACAGTGATGTTTCTCTCTCCTCCCCACTCTCTGTCTCTCTCCCTCTCTCACTTTCCCTCCCTCCCTTCCACTCTCTCTTTAAAAATCAATGGAAAGAATATCCTCAGGTGAGGATTAACACACACACAATAAGTGAAAAAGAAAATATTCATTGAATATATCAAAGAAGGTAAATATTCATGAATATACTGAATTATTAAATATATAAAAAATAGTTCTTCAAGCAAGTTTTTGGTGAATTCGTAAATGTGGTGAACTTGAATATGGTCAGTTTTCAGATTGAATTTGAATGAATTCATCATTTTTGGCACACTGAGTTTTGGCACACTGAGTTTTGGCAAACCCTTTTTCCCTGTCCTCTGCACTGACCAGCCCTCATCCCACCTCATCCACCCATCAACACTCGGGGCTCAGGGGAGGGCCTCATACCCTCTTGCTGGCCTAATGTGGTATTTGGTCCAGTTAGGTGGGGGTTGGGATAGAGGAACAGGGACAGTACCTCTGGTCTTCCATCTATCCTCTGATCTTTTTTAAAAATTAAAATATAGTTGCCACATAATATTATATTAGTTCCATGTGTATACATAATGATTTGACATTAAGAAGTGATCACCATAAGTCTAGTACCCATCTGTTACTATACAAAGTTATTATAGTATTATTGACTATATTCCCTATGCTGTACTTTACACTCCCATGAATTATTTATTTTATAACTGGAAGTTTGCCTCTCTTAATCCTCTTCACCATTTTCTCCCATTACAGTCTGCCCCCTTACCTGGCATCCATCAGTTTGTTCTCTGTATCTATGAGTCTGTCTCTGTATTGTTTATTTGCTTTTTGTAATATTCCACATGTAAGTGAAAACATACAGTATTTGTCTTTCTCTGACTTACTTCACTTAGCATAATCCCCTGTAACTCCATTCATGTTGTCTCAAATGGCAAGATTTCATTCTTTTTTTTATGGCCGAGTAATGTGTGTGTGTGTGTGTGTGAGTGTGTGTGTGTGTGTGTGTGTGTGTTGCATCTTCGTTATCCAGTTATCTGTTGAGGGACACCACCTTTCCTATTGGCCAGGATCTAAGATACACTTGTTGAATGAGCTCCCTGGGATAGGTACTAGCAAAGTGGGGGTGGGGGTGGGGCTTTCTCCTTCATCTTTTGCCTCATCCCAGGTCAGGTTACATCCTTGCCTACCTGCACTCTCTCTGACTGCCTTGTTGGACCTTGCGTCACTATCCTTCCCCACCTCCTTCTTGAACACAAAATTGCTCACTTCATGCCCAGAACCTTCCCTGGCTACCATGGGCCTTAGAATAGATGCCAAATTCTTCAGCCTGGCTAGCATTTGAGCCGCTGCCTGCTCCTCTAGCCTCACTCTGCAGTCCCAACATGAGTCCTTGAGTTGGAACTCAGAGAAAAGCCCCTGTTAGGGAAGCAAGAAGCCAGGGTTCTGGGCTCAGCTCTGCCAGAGACTTGCTGGGTGACCTTGGTTAAGTCAATAAACTTCTCTGGGCCTATCTGAAAGACAAGGAGGCTGCGCCAGGTAATTTCTCAGAGATGAGTGATCACCTCTGTGTTTGGGGACACATGCGCTGACCAAATAATCATGTGGGTGGATGGACAATGGTTCCACAGACTGCATCAGGGGAGGCGAGAAAACCCATGAGTTCTATGAGGCAGAGGCACCTGACTAGGCTCTTAAGTTAGCTTCCCACTTAAGGGGGGCATGTTTGCCTGGGCCCCACCTGAGTTGCTTCCTTTGGGTATGTTACCTACCTGGGTCCTGCAGGCGTTGGCGTTGTGAGCTGTGGGCTCCACCACCTCTGCTGGGCCTTCCTGTTTTCACTTTCCATGCTAACCCCTACCTCCCCCAGGAAGCCCTTCCTGGCTAGTCGCCCCGTGTCTGAGTTCCTATCACTGTACTGCCTGGGCGAAGAACAGGAGGGCACACATGGCCCCTGCCCCACCCTCCTCATCCACCACACCCCAGAGTTCAGGGTTTCTGTGCCGCCTCCTTTTGCCTCGTGTGTGGGCGATTCTTAACCAACCCCAGGGAACAAGACAGAAGTCAGCTGTACGTGCAGAGCTTTGGACACTGTTGCTGTTTCTCCAAGCTGTGTGGTATGTGGGCACGAGGGGAAACCCAGTGGGGCTTACCGTTGTGATGGGGCAAAAACATCCTCCTCAGAAGCTCCGAGACGACGGCCTTCAGACGTTCTTCCTGCAACAGGTGAAAGAGGGCTGGAAGGTCACTTCGGCTGGGTCAGCAGGTTGTGACCTCTGGAGCGGGGGACCCCAGGGGATAGGTACCCACAGGAGATCAGGAGTAGTCCTGGGGACCCCGCTTCTTAAGGTCATTGGAGCCAGGTGAACAGATTAGTGAAAGGACCGGGGAAAGTTGAGGGGCCAGTAAAAGTAGCCTTCACCGCCTGTCTCAGCGATGGTCTTACTGCTTCAGGGCAGCCCAGGGAGAAGGAGACCCCCAGGGCCAGAGCTTCACAGGGGCCCACTCTGAGTCCAGTTTTGATAGCTGCCTAATGACGGGACAGGAACTGTCTCATTGAGAAAGCAGATCTCCTGTCACCAGGGATGTTCAGGGGTCTTGGTCAGGGCTGCCCCAACCCATTTGGACAGATTAGAAATAGACCCCCTTCTTCCTTCCTTCCTTCCTTCCTTCCTTCCTTCCTTCCTTCCTTCCTCCCTCCCTCCCTCCCTCCCTCCCTTCCTTC